CAGATACGCACGTTAAACTTATAACACCCTACTTTTTCATTTAAGGTTAAAAAGAAGCATTGTCACGTCCGTATATAAGTTAAGGATTATAAATCAAAATGTAAATACCGTACAAATATTGTGTATAACTAGCGTAGCGAGAACTTTTAGAACACTTGTTCTTAAACAAGTGGTACAATAGCGACTCGAATTTGGAATGCCACCGCTCTTTTGATGTCATTTGTACCTTTTTGGAAAAACTTTTTAAATAAAACTTGTTCATAGTAAATTACCATATTTGCTCTTCACAGTGGTGTATAGGTTCGAATTTTGTTGAAGCAAATTCTAAAAGTACACTCAATTCAAAGCAAAATTTTATAATAATTTATATGTACATTTCTAAGTATAAATACACAATATATTTTGTATAATAACAAATGATTTTTACCATTTATGTGCAGAAATAATAAGCGATTTGTAGAATTATTCACTTTTAAACCTTTTAATGTAGAGATCGAATGATGTAACATTCCAAGAGTTACCATTTACTACACCGACGAGCCAAGGAAGCTATTGAGAATCCTCCCATCCCTACTACAATGAAATTCTCCTGTTTGATACGAATAAGTACAGATTTATTATTAGCTCTTATTTTATATGTGATAGAGCTGATTTTTTAACAACAGACTCTACAATACCGATAACTTTATAATATTGTTCCTTTCGTTTTAGACGAAATGGTATCAATGTTGCAAGGCGAAATATAATATTCGAATGAAACTGTAATAAAATTTTACGATTCGACACCGTATTAACTTGTGTGATAATAAATAACGTACATTGCTTATAAAAACAATAAATTTTTGTAATATGCTCTACATTGAAATGGTTATGTTAGAGCATTGCTTATAAAATTACTTAGCAAATGTGGGTTCGATTCCGCACACGGTAAATACCTGTTTGAAATGGCTCTATTCTTCGTGTTATTTTTCGTGTTTTATTAATGCCAATATTCATCAATCTGTGGTTATATTAACACATAAATTATTTAATAAATTATAAAATTTAGAACTTAGTATAGGTAAATTCCAGCCAGCGAGTTCAATTTTTTTTGCCTGTCTGTATGTCTGTCTGATTGCCTTTTTATACGAAGGTCTATTTTTATTTCTTTTTAACAATGACTGCCTCAGCAAAACAAATTTCAATGAAATTTTATTTTTGTTGCAAAGCCACAAAGTACAAAAATAAATTACGTATGGTAATAGTATCTATTTACGTTTATTACATCTGCCTTATCCACTCGTTGGTATAAACACGTGGCAGTAAAGAGTGCGAGCCAAAACAAGGTTTTGTTCTTTAAGCGACAACTATTGTAACTATATCGCTATCCGCTAAGATCTGAATTCTGCATCTTTGGATCTGCAGAGTTCATTTGAGCTTACATACAGACGTAAAAAATGTAAAGATTTTTTTGTAGAGTTCAATTTTCAACACGTTAAAAAAATACTTTTACTGAATATACAAATTTTTATTTTTAGTTGACCGGAAATACGAAAAGCCACAGAATGAAAACAGTAAAAAAATAAGTAAGTATATCACGTTTTAATTTAACTAAGAGTATTTTATTGCCACATAGATAACCTTAAGCTACATCAATAAAAATACCTTATATTACTCAGAGATAGAGCGCCTTCCTATTACTAAGAGTTTTTTATTGGTACATAGAGTCGGTTCACTAGTTCAAGAGATGTACAAACAAACAAATTTATAATAGTAAGATATAGAGACAGTAATAATTAAACTCTACAGCCAACGAAATTTAAGCTCTACAGACTCTATAAACTAATGTACTAGAATTCCGTGCATTTTGAATGTTTCGATCCCACTGTATGTCACGGGAGTGCGGGGTGTGAACATATCGTATTTAAACAGTATCTAATGCGGTACGTGGACGCGACACGGCGGTTCCAACGTTATTGCTTATTTCGAAGTTGCGTATTCAAATAAAGTATGGTCGTAGCTTTATTTTACTCATTTTAGTTGAATTTAAAGTTATATATACTCGTATATATATATTTTTTTTATCTGTGATGTATTGCGAGTAACATAAAATTTTAAAATAACTAAACGATTAATTAATTAAATCTCTTTGTTTATTTGGTATTTTTTAATTTGTATTACTGTAATATTATGATGGCTTTTTTGGTACAAAATTAAATTGTAATTTTTAACTTTTAAAAGAAAAATTTCAATAAATTTTTAAGCTGAAAACGTTCTTTCAAAATTTCAATATTATAAAAATATTCTCGTATTTTCTATGTATAATATACATATTTAATAACTTTAAAATGTGGTCGTAGAAAGCTTTATTTTACTCATTTAAGTTGAATTTTAAGTAATATATGAAGAAATATTTATCTATACTTTATTGCAGGTAACATAAAATTTAAATATAACTAAAACATTGATTAATTAAATGTATTTTTTCTTTGGATTGTTTGTAACTTGTGATACTAAAATATTTACAGCTTTTTCATACTAAATTAAAAAATCATTTTCAACTTTCAAGAGACTAATTTCAAAAAACTTTTAAGCTAAAACAAATATATTTTCGTTTTATTAGTTTATATACTTTACTGAACATAAAAATCCCAAAAAACCTACTAACATATCATAAAAATTAATTTATTTCATACACATTATATATGGTCTAACAGGTGTTTTTAAACGCTAAAACGAAAAGAACATTTAAGTTGTGCGAGAAGCTTGTTAGCTGCGTAACGAATAACACAAATGGTAAATGTTGACTGATTTATTTCAGTACTAGTTGCCACTATGTTGCTTTACCACTGCAGAACTAACTTCATGTTCCAGATTATAATTTTACTTTCGATTCTTAATCTAGATATATATGACGAAGGAGGATTTAGTTACCTTTTTCTGATATAAAACCTTATAATTGTTTAAAGTCACTATGTTATTTAGTTTAGTTTTTATTGCTTTTAAAATTATTTTAAACTAGCGTTGCCCGCAGCTCCACCCGCGTTCAGATAACCAAAAACCAAATTCTTAGGTTTTACATATTTAGTATACTCTTACATTGCAGTTTTTCTATTTTTTCTCAGAAATGAGATATTTACCGCGGTAAAAAATATCTTATATGTTGACCCAGATAACCAGCTATAACCATACCAAATTTCATCAAAATCACTACAGACAGACAGAGAGACAAACAGACATTAATTCTAAAAACTATAGATTCGCCCTCTATATCGGTAATAATGTCTATTTCAATAAGATTTTCCAAAAAAATATTTAATTTACAGATTCGGCCTAGTTACATTCATTGGGGATACGTGGTTTAGTAAAGGGTGGATATTGAATATGGAAGTACCTGTGAACCCGCTAGCTCTAAAACATTAGAATTACCGTTTCAAGTTTATAACATTGTGGTTTCCCTAATTAAATTGTGTATTGAGCATTGAATACTTTATTATTTGAACCCTGATAACGCCCACAAGATTAGTAACGACTAAAGATGATGTCGGTAGTATTTATATGGATAACAAGATTTATATGTACATATATGTACTAGATATAAGAACTCTTTAAAATAAGCAATTAATGTTTGAAATTGGGAAGGTAATTTTGAATGTTTCTATTTTACTATTTCAAAGCTAATAATATGTACGCCTTCTGTAATATTAGTTTTTGGTTATATAATTTGTCAAAAAGAATGAAATAGAATATGAAAATAAAAATTAAATAAGTAAAGCACGTAATATTACAACTGCAAAAAAAATTGAATGTGTTTGTTTGCTCTCGCTGTTAGATTCCATAAGTAGTGAAATTTAGAATTGAACTTATATAAGTTATATTTATATATGCATATATTATATATAAATATATCCTTAATAAACCCAAAATTACTAAGCAAGCAAAGTCACGCGCGATAACTAATAAGTTAAAACGAACTCATGAGGGAAATATTTAATATGTTGTTGGGACATTAACACACATCACCATCTAGTTCGATAGTAAGCTACGAGGCTTGTGTTATGGATACCGGATAGTTGATACACTACACATATATAACTTTAAATATTTACATATTATAAATATAAACACCCATGACTAGAGTACAAACATTCGTGCTCATCATACAAAAGAATGCCCAGGGGGATTCGAACCCGCGACCACTGGCACAGCAAGTAGGGTCGCTACAAACTGAGTCAAACTTTATATAGTTATATTTTATTATATAGAGTCTTAAGATTGCACATCTACCTGTACAGCATAATCACGCCAATATTTTACAAAATGAGTCTACACTTAATATCATAACATTAAAACCCTAATCGAAGTATAAGAATTTAGTGCGATCGAATTTTTAATTAAAATTGAAAAAGCTTGGTCGGTGATTGTTCGTAATAAGCATTAGCGGTGTTCAAAAAAGAAGTTTGCACATAAAAATAAGTTATATACAAACGGAACGAGCTCGTAATTAGAAAAACGTTGACAAAATATCAGTAATGGACGCTTTATTTTCGATCAATGTAAACAAGAAGGTAAATTTTTAAGTTCACATAAGAAATGCTCGATATGTTTTTGGCTTTAGTACTTAAATGCATTTAAAAATTTGTAGTTCTAAATGTCGCTGCCTTTTAAGCTCTGGTTGTGGGTTACCGAACTTTTTTATGGCTAGTGGCTTTGGATGTTTCGATTAGCGTAACGATCATATATGATGGTCTCCGTTAGTGATACGATTTATTGTATGAAAAAGCTCTTGCTAAGCTTTAAATTTCCTAAATCAATTGTGATAAAACTTAGGCATTTTTAAGAGAAAGTATAAAAGAAAATAATATACTTAAAATATAGAAAGAAATTTGCAGTCAAATGACTTACGTGTTTTATTTACGAGTAGATGTCCTCAACTGAGTGATAATTTGTAATACTAGCGACTTACGCTCATTTCGCTCGAAAGAATCCCTAGGTGCGTAACAGTTGCCTATATATTATTAAAATAACTGCCTCGATAGTGTAGTGGCTAGCATGTACGGCTGCACACCCTTAGGTCCTGGGTTTGAGTCCCGGGTCGGACCAACTTTAGTTTTAGATTCCTGCGCCTTAACTCTCACTGGTCTTGTCGAATGGTCGTCCCACTGGAGTATGAGAGTGACAGGAATAGAGAGTGCACGTTGTGTCTGCGCGTACACTTGTGCACTATAATATCTCCTGCGCAGTTGGCTAGTCTCAATGAGATTGGCCGCCGTGGCCGGAATCGCTCAGGAGAACATCATCATTATTCAAGGTCAGTATATCTGTACAATAATTTTCATCCAAACCTGTCCAGTTTCTCAGCGTTAACTGGTAATAAACACACGTACATACATATGCAAAATCTCACATTTATATAGTTCAAAAAGAAGCTTGTAGACAACAAGACATAATATATACTATAATTTTGTATAACTTACACGTTATTCAAGAAATTGAATAAACCATTTTCTGTCTTTCAAAGCTATGGTAAGTGACAAACATATAAAAGCAAACACAAAATTCCTTAGCTTTTCAATCCCCGAGCTTTCAGAGAACTTTGTAGGTTTATCCATTATATTTTTAATGCCTATAAGCTATAAGAAAACGAGGAGCGTCGCCCGAAATTATCGTGTTTACTTGAGTCTTTTGTTAGTGTTAACAATAGGCACTAAGTGTCTGAGTACTTCAGCCTATAATTGACTTTCCTAGAAGGTTTTCATAGTAATAATAATTCATTAAAGTTAAAAGCTTGTAAAATAAAATCATGTGATTTATCGACTTCATTTTGAATTTAATTACGTTACATATCAATATTGCTATAACTGACGCACTGGTTGAGAGTCGAACTCGATTAACTCAATACAGTAAGCATCCATTTCCTTATAGCAAGTCAAAATTTATATGACCAGCTTAAGAAATGGCGAATATAAGTTTCTAATTTATAGAAAATTTTCAAGTTTTCTTTAATTGAACTTCAACAGTGTACGTCGTGATTGAAATTTTAGCATTTTTTGGTGTTATAATTAAATTTTTTCCCTCTACTTGACCATCAAGAGGTTGAGAATTTATTAGTCACCAAATTTTAAATCGTCTCTACACGTCATTGTAAACGTTTATACCAAGTATATATTTCTTTTAGTGTCCATAATAATATAGTGTTTTAACAGCCTTTGACAAAGGTCTAAACTTTCAGAACAAATGTTAATAGCTAACAGCTTAAGTTAAACAAAATTTACGGTTTAAAATACAACGTTCGCATACAAATTAATAAGTATTCTCACCTCCCTACATTGTAAATCGGGAGGAGTATTTATAAAGGGCTGTTTATATTATAAATTCAAAAATATAAACAAAATATTCCTTATCTATCTCAAAGCAAGCCATTTTATTTTGACATGGATCCCAGGATGCAATCTATGCTCTTGCCAAATTTTTTTCGAAATCTGTGCAGCATTTTAAGCGTGAAATGGTAACAGACAAAATAATTATCACTTTTTCATATTAGTATAAATTCTTTACTTAAGTATGTATGACTTTTCTTAAAATTTTGTAGTTTAGACTCCTGAAAATAAATATACACAAATAATTTGTAAATAAAAAGTAACACCAATTTCAAAATATCCTAAAAAATAGTAATTCTTAGACATTCATTAAGAAGGATTGATTAAAATCAGTTCACAGATGCGAAGATATCGTAGAACATACAAACCCAAAAACCATACACCTCGACCAAGCACCCCCTTTTTTACGTCAGTTAAAATTATTTTAAATAACCGAATACATACTGTACCAAAATGATGAGTCATATTACAATTTCTATGCCGTATTAAATAAATTCGCAGATTTATTTATTTTTTAAATAAATCCGCGATAAAATCCGAAGAATGCGAAAAAAAACGAAAAAATGCGAAAAAAAAACTAAAAGATAGTTTTATTTAAAATGTCAAATATTCGCGTAAATCTAATAAAATATTCTTATATAATATCGTTTATTGCATATATATATATATATATATATATATATTATATATATATATATATATATATATATATATATATATATGTACATATATGTACATTTCCTGACCGCTTTTAAAGTACAGGTCAAAATTAACTAAAACTGTGAATTTAATTACTCCTCGTAATTCAAATTTTACCAGCATTATTATGAAGAGTGTTATCGGAGTTCAATAAAAGAGTTGAAAAGTCCATTACAGGCATGCCTTCGCTTGACGAGGTTTTATGCATTCGTATTTCCACGTTTATTTGGTATTACCAATTAGTATAGTCATAAAACAACTGGTGCTTTACGGGAGGTCTTATATTTAGGTCTGTACCGACCGGCGTTGCGACGAGCATTGAATACGTAGTATATAGCGAATCGATTGATTGTACACCGTAGAGATAATTAGAGATAGTTCTATTACTTACTGTTAATTATGTTACATAAATTCGACGTTTAGAATTGTGACAGCGGTTTAGTACAAATATTTTGTTTTTTCAGTGCTTATATTTTGTTCAAACGGCCAAATATGGTATTTAATACCATTTTACTGCATTAAGCCTAAAAAAAAATATTTTACATATGCATATGTTTCTTAGGAATAATTCTTTGCTTCTAAAATAGAAGAATAACAGTGAACACTATTAGTGTTAGATACCTAGTGTCGAGAGCGATATGAACTTAAGTCGCAAGTTGTTCATTTATTTTAATAAAATAAAAATATGTTTCAAGCCAGCTCCAACTCTCAAAGTATTTCAGTGCAAACAAACAACCACACCTTCACATTTACAGTAATATTTAACATTATTATATATATTATGACGACACGTTTGGCTCAGTTTGTAGTGACCCTACTTGCTGTGCCAGCGGTCGCGGGTTCGAGTCCCGCTGAGGGCATTCATTTGTGTAATATCCGTCTGGTATCCATAACAAAAGCCTCGTAGCTTACCATGGAACTAGATGGTGCTGTGTGTCCCTATATATTTATTTATTTATGTATTTTATTGTTGGTTATACTTTATTCTTTCATACGTCATCGAGCTTTTAATTGGCTTACGTCCATCGGTTGACAGGTAAAATTCTCTTCTAAAAATAAGTCGACCTTTGCCTATATCATGCTTTTCATAGTATAAGTACAATAAAGAATGTATGTATGTTTATTCTCCCGTATGTTTCCAAAAAGTCAGTTATTACAAGAACAATGAGACGAAATATTCGATATAATTGCTAAAAGTTACGAGTTTAATTAACGGCGTGATTGATTCATCGTAAATCTCTTATGTTTTAAGATCAAATTTTAAGCAAACGCAACGGGATATTCGTTTTTATTTACATGTTATTGCGGGTTATTTCATTTATGAACTTATAAATAACAAGCTTTTAGTCTCTTTTATTAATTGTTATTTTGAAAAGCTACGTTAAAAAATGCAAATGGACCCAATTCAAAGATAAATAAATATATGGTACGGGATATAAAATTTAATTTGAAATATATATGCAATCGTAAAGTTTTACCAAATTTTTATAGTGATATGACATTTACACTCTTCCCGTTTTCATTATTTTATTCTGTGTTTATAATTATAAGCTTTACGAGTCACTTACCCTGGCTTCGCTCGGTTTTCACCAATGGATGGAGTGATTCATGAGAAAGGTTTAGATATATAATTCATTAAGATTTTGTGTAAATTGTTTGAAATATGACAATTATTGTGAAAGATGTCGGAAAAAATCATGCTGACTGGGAGCTTTATTAGCGCCGCATAAACTAATAAAGTTATATGAAAACAATGTATTCCTCTTAAAAATATCTTTCTATATTACTTTCTATTAGGTAACTCCTTTCCTTCCTTCCCATTAAGGACGCTCCCGAGCGAAGCGATGGTGAGTCGCTAGTGTAATATATCCATATATATTTTATATTAACATTAAAAATTCAATATACGCAATGGAAAAAATATACAGCCAGTCTACACCATTCCTATACAAAAAACTATTATTTCTAGTATAGCCGTAAATTTAACCGGTGTTCGAAACGACCTCACGCCCAAAGGTTAACCTGCAAAGTACAATGCATAGTATCATATGGAATATAACAGACCCTGTATTTGGTGTATCAATGGTGCTAGATGGAAATAATCTTTTACATATATACTGTAAGCAGTGGAAGCCCCAGGGTTGCGCTCTCGCTTCGTATTTTCGTCGAGTGAAGCGGGTTCAAATCCTGGTTCTCGCACCTCTCATATTTTCATGTCCGAATCACTTCCAACATAATTACCACTTGTCTTGCGGTGAAGGAAAATATCGTGAGGGAAACTGTGTGTCTGAGAGTACCTATCAAGTAACATGTGAAGTCTATCTAACAGCACTTGAAATATCAGAGCGTGGTGGTCTACAGCCTAATCCCTCTCGTATTTCTAAACGATGAGGAGAAGGATTCGGAGGCCCACAACCAGCTGTGGGACGTTAAATAGGGCTGAATACATATACTATATACTACTATACTAATATATTTATATACTATACTATCTCAACTTATTAGAAAGCATAAAGAAAGCTCAAGCTACGTCTTTAAATTCTCTTATCGCTGAATTTTTACCAGACAAAAATGTATCGATTTATTGAGTGAATATAAAAGTCATAAATAATGATTGTAAAATCTACTTTAGAGAGTCATGGGTTGAGCTTGACTTGATTTTGACTTGATTTCTTCTTTTATTAACCTCGTACACTATACGTATAATACACTAACCTCATTTGGGTGGACTCTTAAAGTCCACCCGACTCCATCCATAGTTTTGTTCAGCTTTTCTTTTTTTTGTTTGCAAAACTTTCGATTCTAAAATTATACACGACAAATCCATCTCAAAAAAAAATAAAATAAAAATAACAACAAAATATAAAAATGCTCAAAAAAAGGCACGGACGTATGTATGTCTGTGGGTCTTAGACTTACTCAAATAAAAAAAAATCTACTTTAAAACAATTGTAGATTTTGATTGTTTACGCCAATTTTCACAAAATACAAACGATTTGAATACCTCATTAATTTTGAATTCGGTTGTAAACCTTTTCGATTGAGGAAATAACTAAAAATACATACAAATAAAAATACTAAACGAAACTAAACGAAAAAAAAATGTATAAAATCATTAAAATCACACAATTATTGTGGTCCAAATTTATGTATCCCCTTAAAAATCACGTTTTATTTGCTTACTTTACGATTGGTCGTTAATTTTTGACTTTACCACAATGCATTAGTGTGAAAATATAAAAAAAATGTAAATGTCAATAAAATCGTCCGTATGTATATATTTCTTACTCTCTTTCTACTTATTCGGTATAAAAGAAATTTATTCTTCTCATATTATTGCCCTGTGATCAAAATTTGACTGTAACCATTATTAAAAAATTGAGGAAAACAGCTAAATAGAATTAATCGAAAAAAATTTTTTTTTTGATAACACTAAATTTATTTATTACATAGGTCGCTTACAGAGCATACATCCTTATAATTGTCCATGGTAATAAACAAAAGAAGATCTAGTCTTAATGATGCCCTAATTATAAGCAACACTGCATTCTAATAAGACAACAACATAGTAACTTAATAATAATAGTTTATATTGGTGAGCAAAAATAAAATTGAAATTATTATTATTATAGTTAACAGTAAGTATATACTCAAACAAAAACTTGAAGATGTGTTTTTTTTATTAATAATAACAATAAACAATTATCCATGTATGTATATGTAGTGGAATGAAAAAGCTTAAGTTTTATGGTATTCTTAAATTTATTAAAAGAATCAGAAAAAATATCGATATTATATCGACTTAACCTTATAAGAAAAAATATATCGACTTAAGCTTATCAGTAGCTTAGAGCTGGAAAACAGAAGAGAAAAAGGGACTGAACTGCTTAGTATCTGTCTATTTATTAAATATATATAAGACGGAGGAGGATTTAGTTACCTTTTTCTGTTATGAAACCTTATTATTGTTTAAAGTCACTATGTTCTTTAATTTACTTTTTATTGCTTATTTTGAATTTAGAGCAGAGATTTAGTCTCGAGCGGGGTCGAAACGCCATCACGACATTCTTTGCAGATACGTGGTTTAGTAAAGTCGGTTGATCATGGTGGATCATAGTTTTGCTTTGATATTGTAGTTGGAAGTCGATGATCGGTGACTGTGAACCCGCTAGCTCTAAATCATTAGAATTACTGTTTCAAGTTTATAACATTGTGACTTCCCTGATTAAATTCTGTATTGAGCACTGAATACTTTATTATTTGAGCCCTGATAACGCCCACAAGATGAGTAACCACCAAAGATGATGTTCGCAGTATATGGATAACACGACATATATATTAAAGTATAAGCAATTACTATTTTAGTATCTCACTTTGTTTTAATACATTATATTTATTATAAAAAGGCCCCTTTGAGTCGCCAGTAAGGCACTAAATGGGTAAGACCTAAGATTCTAATTAAACAAGTAGCACATGCCAGAGAGAGTCAAACTTGAAACCTTTAAACGTACTAGAAAATAAATTCATTAAATATATAATTTATATATGTTATATTTCATTAAATACTTTCATATATCAACATATCTATACATATAATAAAATTCTAACCGAGTCGAATCTGTACATTAAATATTTTTTGGGAAAATCTTATTGAAATAGTCCTTATTATCGATACATAGGCCGAATCTATAGTTTTAAGAATTTTGTCTGTCTGTCTATCGATATATCTGTCTCTCTGGGAACGTATCGCGAGAAAACCATTGGTCAGATTTTGATGGTATGATGGTAGCTGGCTACCCAGGTCAACATAGAGGATAGTTTTAACTGTGGAAAATATTTCATCTCTAAGAAATCAATACTGTTAAAACTTAACGAGGGTGAGTCGCTAGTAAATAATATAAAAAAGTGACATGAATATGCGTTATTATAAAAAATACATTGGAAAAAGACTTAGTATAAGAAGAGAAAAAGCAGAAGTAATTTTTTTACTGATATTAAAATCGAGCCTTACTTTGAAAACCTGTGGCTTATCATCAATAACCACAGCATAATATCCCATAAAAGCTTTCAAAACTTAACATTGTAAGATATTAATTTAAAATATTATAATAATGTGTAAAGCTAATTTTAAATTATTATTATAATATAAGGCAAGACTGTAAAGATTAAAACTTTTAACAAACTTTAACATTTTTGCACATTTTATTT